AAAAAAAAAAAAAAAAAAAAAGAATTAAAAATTAATAGAATTTTCATTCTATTTAGCAAACTCTTTAAAAGACTAAGCATTCATGTCATGTATTTTGTTTACCACATTATAGCGAAACTTGACACTGAGGGCACACATCTGCTTATCCTGAGAAGAAAGTAGGAATAATAAGAGTTGGTGTTGGCTCGGCGCCTATAGCTCAACCGGCTAAGGCGCCAGCCATGTACACCTAAGGTGGCGGGTTCGAATCCCCAGCCCGGACCCGCCAAGCAACAATGATTTCAAAAAAAAAAAAAAAAAAAAAAGAGTTGGTGTTGAGGGAAAACACATATTTGCCTGTCAAGTCCCTACATATCCTCTTGTCCCCCAAACCTGTTCCTGTCCTCCTCTTCTCTATCTCTGAATAAAACCTAGGAGTCCTCTTTAAGTTGTACCTCTTCCCCACTCTCAGGGCCTTGCTCCCATCCATGCTGTGTTCAGAATGTAGCTCTAGTCTGCTGTTCTTCTGCCCCCACCTTGACCCTGGTCCCTTCATCTCCTGCCTGAGGTATCCTGACCACCATCACATCCTTGTCCCTTTCATTGACTGCAGTCTTGCTTCAGCAGCCAGAGGGGCCCGTTCATAGTGTAAGTTACTTCATATCACTCTCTTGCATAGACACTCCATTGCTTTGTCATCCCTCACTAAACCCCCTACACTGGCATTTCAGGCCCTTAGTTCTGCCCGCCTCCTCCCTTGTGCCTCTGCTCTGACTCTTAGCACTCCAGCCCCACTGGTGCTCTCTAGTGCCCAGCCTTACCCTGCCATAGGGCCTTCCTGTTTGCTCTCTTCTCCTCTGGCAACTCCCTACACCATTCTGCAAAATCTCAGCACAGATGCCACCTCCTCCTACAGGCCTTCTCTTACCATTCTTTCAGCCTGATACCCCGTCTTCTGGCCAAAGCAATCTTTCTCTCTCTCTCTTTTTCTTTTTTTTTTTGCAGTTTTTGCCCAGGGCTGGGTTTGAACCTATCACCCCTGGTATATGGGGCTAGTGCCCTACTCCTTTGAGCCACAGGCGCCACCCTCTTTTTTGAGGCAGAGTCTCAAGCTGTCACTTGCTTAGAGTGCCATGGTGTCACAGCTCCCAGCAACCTCAAACTCTTGGACTTAAGAGATTCTCTTGCGGGCAGCACCTGTGGCTCAAAGGAGTAGGGTACCGGCCCCATATACCAGAGGTGGCGGGTACAAATCCTACCCCAGCCAAAAGTGCAAAAAAAAGAGATTCTCTTGCAGGCGGCACCTGTGGCTCAGTGAACAGGGCGCTGGCCCCATATACCGAGGGTAGTGGGTTCAAACCCAGCCCCAGCCAAACTACAACAAGAAAATAGCTGGGCATTGCGGGAGGTGCCTATAGTCCCAGCTACTCGGGAGGCTGAGGCAAGAGAATCACCTAACCCCAAGAGCTGGAGGTTGCTGTGAGCTGTGAGGCCATGGCACTCTATTGAGGGTAACAAAATGAGACTCTGCCTCTTAAAAAAAAAATAAAATAGGACAGTGCCTGTGGCTCAAGGAGTAGGGTACCAGCCCGATATGCCGAGGGTGGTGGGTTCAAATTCAGCCCCAACCAAAAAATTGCAAAAAAATTAAATTAAATTAAAACAAGAGATTCTCTTGCCTAAGCCTCCCATGTAGCTGGGACTACAGGTGCCTGCCACAGTGCTGGGCTATTTTTTGGTTGCAGTTGCCATTGTTATTTAGCAGGCCTGGGCCAGGCTCAAACCCACCAGCCCCAGTGTATGTGGCTGGTACCTAATCACTGAGCTACAGGAGACAAGGCTCTAATTTTTTTTTTTTTTTGTAAAGACAGTCTCACTTTATCACCTTTGGTAGACTGCTGTGGTGTCACACAGCTCACAGCAACCTCCACCTCCTGGGCTTAGGCAATTCTCTTGCCTCAGCCTCCCAAGTAGCTGGGACTACAGGTGCTCGCCACAATGCCTGGCTATTTTTTTGTTGCTGTTTGGCTGGGGCCAGGTTCGAAACCGCCACCCTTGGTATGTGGGGTCAGAGCCCTAACTCACTGAGCCACAGGTGCTGCCCCAAGCCTCTAATTTGTAATATTCTCTAATGACCAAATGTGTGACATGTTTGTTGTCACCCTGTTAATTATATAATGGATTTTGGATTCCGTGACCCTTAGTTACAGGTATCCTAACCCCCAAATTGGCAGCATGAACAAGAACTCACTTAAAATTATTTTTGGTGGCTCGGTGCTTGTGGCTCAAGCGGCTAAGGGGCCAGCCACGTACACCTAAGGTGGCGGGTTCGAATCCCCAGCCTGGGCCCGCCAAGCAACAATGATGGCTGCAACCAAAAAATGGCCAGGCGTTGTGGGGGGCGCCTGTAGTCCCAGCTACTTGGGAGGCTGAGGCAGGAGACTCGCTTGAGCCCAGGAGTTGGAGGTTGCTGTGAGCGTGATGCCATGGCACTCT